TAAATACTATAAAAAGAACGAGAAATGCTGGGGGCTGGCATCAACGACTGCATAACACTTATTCGCTCTCCAAAAATAATTGAATCTTTTTTGAACATGAAAGTGGAGAAGTCAGAAGGGAGTCTTCCATAACTAAACTCTCAAATTTTGTAGCTGTAGCTTCTGAAGTATGGTATATAAACTTTTGTTTTTCCGTTTGCCATGTCGTCGATAGCCAGAAGTGTATATTCATAATCTAATTTTTGTTGAGCCATTAGAGAAAGTTGGCATAAAATGATTCCAGAGGCCTTAGATAGAGTGTCTAGCTATACGATTAAAAAGTATATATTTTTCAGATTTTTCTTTCTATATTTATTTTTGTTCACTTGGAAATTCACTTCGTGCTTGAGTCAAATGAGTACTAGGTAGCTCAATTTGGCACACACTTTTTCTTAATTATGGTCAGCGCTTCGTTCCTGTTCTTATTATTAATCAAAATTAAGGGTTTTGTATGCAAGGAGCAGAGTCTAATGGATAATTTTTAGAGAAATTAAACACTCTATTTCAAAAGAAATGTTAAAGAGCCCAAATTTTCAATTGACAAAAATCATAATATATAAATATGCAAGATATTTTCCAAATATAAGGAAATGAAACTTGTTAAGAAAGGCTGCCATAAATATTGTAGAAGGTGTTTTCATCAGTTTCTTGATCAAATGAAGACAACTTCCTGATAATATCATCTAGCTGAAAGTATTTCAATAAATTGCAATAGATTCCTATTGTATTAGCACTATATTCCGAGTTAAAATACAGTCTAAAAGCGATAAGTTCTCAATATGTAGAGAGAATCTGAGGATAAGGCAACTACTCGCTGCCTTTTGATAATGCTCCAGTTTCGCTGGGTAAATGACCCATAAATGACACGCACACAAAATAACATTGCTTGGACTTGGCGAGCCACCGACCCACCTACCCACCGACCCATCAACCCACCCGCCTAGCGAGCCACCGAGCCAAGCATATGGCATGCGTTTATCCATTTATGAGTGCACATTAGCCATTATATGAGGCCGTTATGATTTACGCCCAGTGGGTGAGCCCGAGCCCAAACCACCTTTGGCTGAGCGCCGTCCGGTAAGTGGGACCGTTGTGCAGCTAAGTGGAAACTATAGATAATGTATTTATGGCTGCAGTGTGAGGTGCATTGTCTCTGGCTCCGTCTCCTTCTCCGACTCCTTCGGCGACTCTGACTATTTTGTATATTGAAATGTTGGCGCATAGAAATTTATTTGCCGATTTCCTGATTTATGACAACGCATTTCTTTTATTTCACCGGACTCGACTCAACTCGGGCCACTGTCCACTGTCCACTGGTCAGCGGCAGCAAATGATGCGTCAGCATATGCTCGCTCGCCCGTCGGCTCATGCCACACCATGTGCCGCCCATTAAGAGATACACTTACTGCTCTGCCCCTTTCCCCCGGAAGGGTAATCGCTTAATTGAATGCGACTCTTTGTGCGGTTAGCCAGCAGCCACCAGGTGGGTCGCCTGGCTGGCTGGGCTGACTGGGCTGGTCACTCGCTCGGCGAACGTGTTGCGGCTAGCGATGACCAGATTAACATTCCAAGTGAGCGTATTCTCAAACAGTTCAAATTGCAAGCACATCGTCAAAGAAGAAGAGCAATTAAACAGTCTCTAATTCAATTAGATGACGGGGAGTAAAATTAACACTATTCTCTGAACTTTTATACTCTCTTATGGTCGAGGAAATTCATCAATGAAAACATTTTAGTACTGAATGTAATATGGAATAGAATCATATGTATGTGAATATCAAATATATATACTACGAGTATATATACATATATATACCTATATACGAGTCGAGTCTCGATAATCAAAAATCGCGATAATTCGAAAAATTCTATCCCGTTGAAATGAATTGTTCTCGATATTTTTCGATAGTTTAAATTTCTATGTAGATCGAATTATCGATTATGTTCATATGCTTATGCCTAGTCAAAAGGTAAACTTACCTATATCATATATTACCTTCAAAACAATTCTTTTCAGATTTGAACCACAATTTCTTCCAAATCTTATTCAGCTCCTGCTTCAATATTGCCTTCATCTACTCGATCATATATATACAGTAGAGTCCGG